TTTTAGTAGAGATGGAGTTTCACCATGTTGACCAGGATGGTCTCGAACTCTTGACCTCGTGATTCACCTGCCTCGGCCTCCCAAAGTGCTGGGATTACAGGCGTGAGCCACCGCACCTGGCCTAACAAGCAAATTTCTTTAAGTTACTCATAAAAAATATTGGCTAGAACAGGGTCCCTCACTACACACTAAGGACAACAGGGATCCCTAAATCAAGCACCATCAGATACCAGGTATGCATGTGTTACATATCCAGAAACCTGAAATATCACCCATCCAGTCTACAAAGGGCCATCCTGGCTACAAGGTTTTCATGGATGGCTTTGTCAAAGGCTTTGCTGAATTTATGTTCTCATTGGTACCAGCAAAGTTCCTGACCCCAAAAGGTTTAAGAGAGAAGATGAAAATAATGTTTTCTTTCTTATGATGGTTGATTTTGGGTGTCAACTTGACAGGGGTAAGGGATACCCCAGCAGCTAGTAAAACACAATTTATTTTCACTGTTTCAGTAAGCACTGAGCTCAGCCTTCTTCTGAGAGGGAAATCTAGGCATTTGATTAGAGTGACTGGACTATGCCAGGTGTGTTGGTGAGGGTGCTTCTAAGATGAGACTCGCATGTGAGTTGGTGGGCAGAGTGGAGAAGATCTGCCCTCAAGGTGGGTGCACACCTCCAGTTGTCTCGGGGCCTGGATAGGAAGGGTGAATTCTCTCCCTCTCCTTCCCAGAGCCAGATACGCTTCTTCATCTGTCTCTGGATGTCAACTCCAGGTTCTCTTACCTATGGATTCTGGGACTTAGACCAGTGATCCCCCAAGTTCTCAAGTCTTTGGCCTCCAACTGAGAGTTATATCATTGGCTTCCCTTGTTCTGAGGCCTTCACACTTGGACTAAACCATGCTACCGGCTTTCCCAGTTCTCCCATTTGCAGATGGCCTGTTGTGGGACTTCTCAACTCCACAATCAAGTGGGTCAATTCCCTGAACAAATCCCCCTGCCACTGCTTTTTTTTTTTTTTTTGAGATGGAGTCTCGCTCTGTTGCTCAGGCTGGAGTGCAGTAGTGTGATTTCAGCTCACCACAACCCTTGCCTCCCGGGCTCAAGCCATCTTCCCACCTTAGCCTCTCAAACAGCTGGGACCACAGGTGCACACCTCCAGGTCCAGCTAATTTTTGTATTTTTCAGTAGAGATGGGGTTTTGCCAGGTTGCCCAGGCTGGTCTTGAACTCCAGAGCTCAAGCGATCCACCCATCTCAGCCTCCCAAAGTCCTGGGATTACAGGTGTGAGCCCCCATGCTTGGCCTATTTATTTTACTTTATAATTTCAACTTTTATTTTAGATTCGGAGGTAGAGTTTCTTAATTTAAATTATCCATGTGAATGCATCCCTTTCTGGGAGACTGTCATAAATAACTCAAGTTTATATATGTTTGATACAGTAGCTTTATTATGTTAAACTTGTTTTAACTATTTTCCCCATACAGGGAACTTACTTTTATGCTTTGGGTAGATAACATCGAAACCAGGCAAGGGCATCACCACATCATGGATAGAGTAATTATTAACATCATCTTCCTCAATATAGGTGGGTGTGGCTGTAAATTCACAAGTGAACAATAAATTAAGAAAATAGGCAACATTTTTATGAGGTCAACCTTCTAAAATTATACACATCTAAGCAAGTCAGAAGTTCAAGTTAGTATAGGTTCAGTGGCCTAGAAAGCTTAAAGAAATTAAGCGGGGGCCAGGAGCAGTGGCTCACACCTGTAATCCCAGCATTCTGGGATGCTGAGGTGGGCGGACTGCTTGAGCTCAGGAGTTCCGGACCAGCCTAGACAACATGACGAAACCCCACCTCTATAAAAAATATAAAAATCAGCCAGGTACGGTGGCAGATACCTGTAGTCCCAGCTACTCGGGAGACTAAGGCAGCAGAGTCACCTGAGCCTGGCAGGTTGAGGCTGCAGTGAGCTGTGATTGTGCCACTGCGCTCCAGCCTGGGGGTTAGAGTGAGGCCCTGTTTCAGAGGAAAAAAAAAAAGAAAAAAAGAAAAAAGATATTAAGTTTGGATACATATTCTTCTGTCTTTTCTGCTTTACTGAAGAAATAAAAATCAAGGATTTAGAAAAAGTAAAAAAAAATTTGTTTTTTGAGACAGGGTCTTTCTCTGTCACTCAGGCTAGAGTGCAGTGGTATGATTAAGGTTCACTGCAGTCTCGACCTCCTGGGCTCAAGTGATCCCACTGTCTCAGCCTCCTGAGAAGCTGGGACCATAAGTGCCTGCTACCAGGCCTGGCTAGTTTTTAAATTTTTTTGTAGAGATGGGTCTTACTTTGTTGCCCTGGCTAGTCTTCAACTCCTGGGCTCAAGTGATTCTCCTGCCCTGGCCCTGCAGAGTACTTGGATTACAGGTGTAAGCTTCTGTGCCCAATCTAAAGTAAAATTTTCAATGAAAATTTAAAAACATTTACCTCTCGGCTGCATCCTCATTTTTTTGGAATGCCTACTATTTAAAATCAAGCAAACATTTTGCTTGCAATGGCATCATAAATGGATGCATTTTGCTAAAAAAAAGATAAACAATTAAAAAAAAAACAGTGTGTACTTAAGAGGATAAAACACAGCAGCACCCAGGATATTAAAATACACTGAATGGCATCAACATGGCATGAGGAAAACATGTTAAATCAAGAAAACTAATTTAAAATTTCTGAACAAAATTAGAAGCTTAGTGGGTTTACGGGGTTTGCCTGCAGATGGGCAGACTATGTATTCAGCTAATAGATGGTAGCCTAGTATGCCAGACACACATGGAATTTGGAATCAAACAGACTAGACTCTGAATCCCAGTTTTTTCTGTTTTAACTAGCTGTGGAACCTTGGGCAAGTGACTAAACCTCATCTAAAAAACAAAGAAAATACTTCACAGTAACAATGGGGGCTTTAAATGAAAAGACACAGGTACAGGGCTTTAAGCCAAGGCCTGGCACACAGTACAGGCTCCATGGCAGATGGGATATTAGCACTGTCTTGGGAACATTTTGGGTACAGCATACACTAAATGCCCATTCTGTCATAGCCCACATGCAAAGTCAGTGGCAGTCTGATGTTGAGTTGAAGAAACTCTTTATGCCTGTATGACAAGATACATCCAGAGGTGTATTTATTTGCTAGACCTACATAAAAGTTTCGAAAGAGATTTCAGCTATCATTTAGCTCAAACCCTATTTGAGTTGAGAAAAGGGAGGCCCAGAGAGAGGTGCTTACTCAGGCTGGGGTTGGTGGCTCAAGCCTGTAATCCCAGCACTTTGGGAGGCTGAGGTGAGAGGATCACCTGAGGTCAGGAGTTCAAGTTCGAGGTACTTACTCAAGCAGATGTGTATTTTTTCTTTAAAGATACAGATAAAAACTAACCAATGTAAGTTACTAGACATGTTTTTTTTTTTTTTTTTTTTTTTTTTGAGATAGAGTCTCACTGTGTCGCTCAGGCTGGAGTGCAGTGGCGCTCTCTCGGCTCACTGCAACATCCGCCTCCTGGGTTCAAGCAATTCTCCTGCCTCAGCCTCCCATGTAGCTGAGATCACAGGCGTACACCACCACACCCAGATAAATTTTTGTATTTTCGGTAGAGGCAGGGTTTCTTCATATTGGCCAGGCTGGTCTCACCTCCTGACCTCAGATCCACCCACCTTGGCCCCCCAAAATGTTAGATTATGGGCATGCACCACCACATCTTGCCACATCTCTCTTTCTTAATTAGTAGCCAGGCTGGATTTTAAAGCCACTAGTGGCAACTAAATAAACCCTAGCTTGGTTGAATAACAAAGACATTTGCCTTTTTACCTCCTTTGAGAACAAGGTCCCCTGGAACAGGTTTCAGCCCATAGTCCTCTATCCTCTTGCTTACCATGTTATTCCACACGTAGCTTTGGTAGCTATGAATATACATCAAGCGATTATTTCTGGGTATCTGGAGGGAAGAAAAAAAATAAGCAAGAAAACATATTCTGAATATAAAAAGTGTTGTACTTTTTTTTTTTTTGAGACAGGGTCTCACTCCATTGCCCAGGCTGGAGTGCAGTGGTGCAGTCTCAGCTCACTGCAGCCTCAGCCTCCCAGGTTCAAACAATTCTCCCACCTCAGCCTCCCCAGTAGCTGGGATTATAGGGGCATACCTCCATGACCGGTTTTTTTTTTTTTTTTTGTATTTTTAGTATGGACAGGGTGTCACCATGTTGGCCAGGCTGGTCTCGAACTCCTGGCCTCAGGTGATCTGCCCACCTTGGCCTCCCAAAGTGCTGGGATTACAGACATGAGCCACCGCACCCAACCAAAAAGTGCTGTACTTTCTACCTTGCTGGTTCAGTGGTAATCCTAGTATAAGAAACTTCTACTGTATTTATTTATTTATTTATATTTATTTTTGAGACAGGTTTTCACTCTGTTGCCCAGGCTGGAGTGCAGTGGCATGATCACAGCTCACGGTAGCCTCAAAACTCCCAGGCTCAGGTGATCCTCCCACCTCAGCCTATTGAGTAGCTGCGACTACAGGTGTACACCACCATGCCTGGCTAGTCTTTTGTATTTTTTCTAGAGACAGGGTTTGCTATGTTGCCCAGGCTGGTCACAAACTTCTGGGTTCAAGCAATCCACCAGCCTCAGCCTCCCAAAGTGCTGGGATTATAGGCATGAGCCACTGTGCCCAGCCAAAACTTTTACTTTAATCTCTCATTTTTCTTTTTTTTCTTCTACTTTAACTTCTCATTTTTTTTCCTCTCCTTTAATCTCCC